TCAAAATACAAAAAAAATAAGAAATTCAAGTACATTTTTTTTTTATTTGTATTTATTAATTTTTTAAAATGTTTTTTTACTAATTTTTTACTTTTTAAATACATCTAAGTAAGGTGCATCTAAAAAAGTAAAAAAAATGTTTAAAATTTTAAAAATATTCACTAAAAAAAAAAAAACATGAAACCAAAATCTTTTTAATCCAAAAAACTCAAACCAAACACACTGAATATTAGCCATTTCAAATTAAAAAGCAAACTTCATTTATTGGGACATATCAGATGATCAACAAAAGCATTTGTTTTTTGGTAAGATGATGAAAGAACAAAACAGAACAACAATATCACTAAACAACAAGAAACAATAATGCCACACAAAAATAATAAAAATAATAATAATAGCAAAAATGCAATATTGGAAGCACTGCTATTGTGGTGGAGTGTGGATCCCATCCAAGATAAATGAGGGCCTTTCATTTTGAAAACAAATTACCAACAAGCATTTAATTACAAAATATCATTTGTACATTATTTGGTGGAGGGGACTTTGATCCTTCTCAATGATTATGAATAAGAATGCAATTTTATTATTAGTTTAAATTAAAATAGATCAGTATATTCCCCGTTGGATGATATAATAGAATCTCTCCATTACAAATATGGAATGGAGAGGATTACAATTCTTGTGGAAGATTCTAAATTTAAAAAATAAAAAACTATAAGGATAGTGTCATGTTTGTATATAAAAAATTTCTTTATCTCATTGTCATGTTTTCTCTTTATTGGATCAGCAAATAATCAGTTGTCATAGGAGGCATATCAGCCATCAGCAGGGTCCATGCACTCTTCACCAATTTCTGCCTAATTTTGATTCACTCAACTGCTTATTTCTTCTTTGAAGTTATATTTCTTTATATTTCCTTTTTCCCCCTTGCAATTCATGTAATTAAGAACCATAAAATGTCATGTGTAGTTATTGATATAGAGTACTGGTCAGACATTTACATTTCATATGCTTGGGGCTCACAAATTCTGGTACATAAGCAGTCAAATACTATATGTAGCAGCTGATATTAGAACCATATTTACCCTATAAAAGTACAATAAATTAGCTATTAATGAAATGGAATGGAATTGTTTCTATTGACATACCAAAATGTGAATAATGATGAAAACCCAACAATCTTTGGAGCCAATGGTATATATTTTGAAAGAAAAATGATTGGTGGCCTGAATTTATGTGGCCCAAATGGTTCGAATGTGTCAAAACGACGTCGTTTTATACCCAAAACGACATCGTTTTGAGTGTTTCGAGCCATTCGAGCGATGAATTTTCAGGCCACCTAGCATTGTTGATTTTGAAATTTGAGGCGTAGTTCTTGTAAGTTTGGCTCAAGGAAATAATTGTTGATCAATAAGTCTATGAATACAAGATGGGACGTCAAATGTATTTCGCAAAAGTGGACTCCACTAAACAATCCAGTAAATTTTAATCTACTCATATATGTTTTTGTGTCTAATTTGGAGAAATTTTTTGAGTGCAAATAGGGTAGGTGCCATGTGGTACCTTTCTCTTTTTTTATTGGTTGAGAGAGTGGGGGCTACATTTATGTGTTGGGTGATGGGAGACAACATGGGGAGGCCATGGTATTTGTGATTGATTGAAGGTACCACGTGGCATGCCACCTCGTACCCTATCTGCACCCAATAATTTTTCCTAATTCTGTGATTGATTTTTGTGTTCGCAGTTGATATATTGTTAATGCAGGCTTTCACCTAAAAGAATGTACACTTTATTTCATGAGAGAGATTATATAGATATATTAATGAGAGTACTGGCTGGTTCATCTGCTCAGTTTGAATGCTCATTCAATAGCATGACATTGTTTGATCAACAGAGCTGGTGACCATTAATAGTATTATTTTTCTGCTCTGCACAACCCCATAACTAGTTGGGTCCCAAACTATTCTTGAACCAGTAGTGCAGTGTTTGGAAGTCTCTTCAATCACTTCCTCATTCTATAAATAACTCAAAAACCATTCAATCAAATCAAAGAAGGCTAGTATGGTTTCTCAACTTCTAAGCTGAGTTTGGTTTCATCACCTGCTTCTCTCTCCTTGATATTGTTGGGTTCCTTCAAAGTGGGCAAAAGGGTCTCAATGTTGGCACTTTCTTTTGTTAGAGCGGTATTTTTGGGATTTTGGTTTTTTTTACTATTGGCTGTGACAACCTGCTATGGTGACAATGAGACAGCAGAGGTGATTGGAATTGTAGAATGTGCAGATTGCACACGGAAGAATTTCAGCCAGACCTTTTCAGGTACAACACTTTTCCGAGCACAAAAATGAATCACCAAGATATGAGTTACGCTTCTTGAGATGTGATGTGATTCGTTTATGTGAAAGTATCTTTTTCATTTCAAGTACACAAATTTTTAGTAATGTCATACAAACAAACAAAAATTGGTATAAATTTATTCATGTAAAATGAGATGGTCTCTTGTGCTCTTTTCATTTAAAATCAAAAGGCCTATTATTCTCGCTCACAATTCTAAAAATATCATTAACCCTTCATTCTAAAAATGACATGTAGAATAATAATATGGTCCCTTTGGGTGATGGCTTAGATCTTTATTTCTTCCATTATGATTGAATGCTAACCAGAGTTCTAGGGGAAAAATATATATATATATATATATTCCACCACATAAATAGGCTTGTTTGTGTTTTGTTTTTGTTTTCCTTTTCTTCATTTTGATTTTCATGTATTCAAAAATAAAGCAAAGAAAATGTTAAAAACAACAATTCGTCTTATTTTTGCCTGAAAACAATTTTGAAAATTCAAAAATAACCTTTCTAGAATTTCCTAAAAGTCGTTTTCAGGAAGTTTCTCCAAAATTTGTTTTCAAAAAAAGTTGGCATTTTTTTTTTTTATTATTTGAGGAAACTAAAAACAAAAATGAATGCAAAACAAATTTGATCAGCATTGTGCATTGCTCTGTGCAGGGCTTCATGTCACCATTGATTGCAAGTCTACAAATGGAAAGCTCAAAACAGCTGGGGTTAGTGAACTTGATGAAGAAGGAAAATTCACAGTATCTCTTCCTAATGGGATTGCAAAAATGGAGAATTGAAAGAGGATTGCTTTGCACAGCTTCACAGCGCAACTGGCGCGCTATGTGCTCTCCACAACGATCAAGAGGCCTCAAATATAATCTTCAAGTCCGTAGCCAATGGGAAACAAACCTTTGGCCTATCTGGGAAGCTACAATTTTCTCCGATGACCTGTGTTTCAGCCTTCTTGTGGCCTTTTTTCAAGCACCCACCATTGCCCCATTTGCCTCATTGGCCAAAGTTGCCACATTGGCCAGGATACCAATTGAATATCCTCCACCCCAACCAGAGGGCTCGCCACCAGCTCCTGTTTACAATAAGCCACTTTCTCCACCACCACCTCCTCCATCACCACACCACCACCACCTTACATTTACAAATCTCCGCCTCCACCGTCTCCATCACCCCCTCCACCATATTATTACAAATCTCCTCCCACCTTCTCCCTTCCCTCCTCGCCTTATTACTACATGTCACCACCACCACCATCGCCATCACCTCCACCACCCTACTATTTTAAGTCACCACCTCCCACCATCTCCATCACCAACGCCACCATTACTATTACAAATCGCCACCTCCACCATCTCCTTCTCCACCACCTCCTTATTACTACAAATCACCACCACCCCAGTGAAGTCACCACCTCCTCCATACATCTACATCCCCACCTCACCAGTGAAGTCACCACCACCACCACCACCCTACTATTACAAATCACCACCTCCACCTCCACCTCCATACTATTAAAATCGCCGACCTCCACCACCTATCCATTTTAAAAAGCTTTCCCCACCGTTCAGTATACAAAAAGCACTTCCACCTTATACCAACATACAAACCAAGTCCCCAATCAACAAGCCTACACCACCAATCCAGAGAAACTTCCACCACCGCCAACGACACGTACGCCAATTCCTAAAGCTCCTCCAATCCCTAACCTTCCTCCTATCCCAACGAGACCTCGAAAGTATTTCAACCAACCTCCCCAACCACATCAACATTAATGCTTAGGAGTACTTTGCATTTTTCTTAGTTTATTTGGATATTTGAACCTTAAGCTTCAATAAAATATGTTGAATGATTTAGCAATGCTATTCTGTATTGAAGATTGAAGAGAAATGAACAGAAAAATACATGGGTGGGTTTGGTTATTCTTAATTGCAAAATAAATTGAACATGAGAATGCACATAAGTTGTTCTTGGCATGTCTTCATATCCAAATTGTTGTTGATGTTTGGAGGGATTGAGTTTTGATGTTGTAACCGAGTGTGCAATTATGTATTATCAATCAAAATTTTGCTACCTTTTATTTTATTTTCCAAAAAAAAATTAGTTCCTAGTAACCATTTTTTGGATTTTTTCCTAGATGTATTACTCTAAACAAGCTCAATTTGATTTAAATAACGTTAACCTTTGGTTCTCCAAAACATTTTTATGCAACATTTTAGAAGTATTCTAACTGTCAATCTTTTGGTATAAAATCATATGGCTAACCATTCAATGATAATTGGATTTGGTATGAAATCATATGGCTAAAACCATTCAATGATAATTGATTTTAGTATATATGATCTTTACGATCAGATACATCAAATGATAGACTTATATTTTTACAAAATGTTAATATTCATAACCAAATATTATAATAGTACATGACTTCTAGGACATGACTTCAACAAAATTGTGCTCTATTTTGAGGGAATTGAAAATTTTATTATGACAATAGGAATTTAATTTTTTTTTTTTTAGCCATGAACATCTTACATTGTAAATATGGAATTAGATTGAGAACATTTCTCCCAAATCTTTGGGGTAAAAATGGCAATTCCTCAATATGTGCAGTGTATTGTCAAAGGAAAAATTTTGTCTTTTTTTAGTACATTTAAGAGAGTAAAGGGAATTAAACCTGGTAAACTTCTAATAAAGTACAAAAATTTTGATCATTAGACTAGTTTCGCTTTGATTGTCATCTTGATTCCAAGATGAAAGGCTTTTTTATCATATTTCATCCTCGTGTAGAGTTAATATATTAAAACATCACTAGTATTAAAATGAATGGGTAAGCCCTAAAGGCTACAGCCCACTATAAATAACCCAAGCCCATCACTTAGGCCCCAATACATAATTCAACTAATGAGCCCAACATGGCTGAACTCAACGTGGCTTAAGAACCAATGACACTCAGACAGTGGCAGGTGAAGGACAAGCCACATAAATAGACAAAAATCCTGCAAAGTTATTACACGCACATTAGCCATTAATGAACCCTTACAGCATTTATTCGATAAACCCTCCCCTCGAGACAGAACGGCCTCACCATGAACAAGGCAAGCTAGAGCATAGACTTTCGGCCAAAATGGTAGGTCAGAAGGGACAACGAAATGATTACCAAAGGATATAAGCAGACCATCGAAGACAAAAAGAAGGTTAAGGTTTCTATCTCTAATCTATCTCTACACTCCATCTCTCTTTCTAACTTGCTCGTCCGAGGGTTCGCTGGGGACTCCCCGTTCCCCTTGAACTCTTGTGCAGGTTCCTCTGTGGGCTTGGTCACCCGGACCTAGTTTGGGAAGCGTAGATCAGTCCGACCTGTTCCATCTGGAACCCGTAGTATTATCAGTTGGCCCGTCTGTGGGAATCGTTGCTTCGCGCGCCAGTTGTACTCATTTGTCGCCGGAGACCCTGTCTCAATAACCCTTTCTGCCACCCACCAAGGTGTATGGTCACGACTAGATCCATGGCTTCTCACCACAATGTTGCCGACCACCAAGCCGACCCTCCCAATCCAAACAACCCACCACAGTATTTCACCGAACTCACCAATAGCATTAACCGCTGGCCGAGCAAAACCAAGCCCTGATTAATGCTCTACCCCAGAAGAAACCCTCCTATGCCTCCTCCACCACCTCCAGATATCCCAACCCACCAAGAACGAGCCCCGAGCCACACTATCCAGCAGCCCATCCGCCTAATTTGGAGGGGTTCGACCACCCCCCCAGATATGAACCTACCCCCCGGCCCCACATCCATCGGTCCAGGTACCCACCCCCGGGGGAGAGGCCAGGAGCGTCCAGCCCTCTCGCTCCTTCCCGTGTGACAACGTCTCTTCTGGGATGCCAGAACTCCGAGCCATGAAGCTCTAGCTCCAGGGAGTCATGCAGAACATACACGAATAAACCATCCACCACAGCCAACTACCCATTCGTTGCCTCCATCCGGGACAAACCTCTACCGCCTAAGTTCAAAATGCCCACCATCGACTCTTTGACGGTACAATAGACCTAGTCGATCACTTAGAGACCTACCGGACCCTCATGATCCTCCATGCATTCCCCGATGAAATCATAGTGTGTCGGGCTTTCCCCGTAACACTCAAGGCGTCGGCTCAACTTTGGTTTGTCAACTGCCAGCAGACTCAATCTCCACTTTCTAACACCTCAGTGACTCATTCCTCAGCCATTTCATTGGAGCCCAGCGCCAGCAACGTTCGGCAACCCAACTCCTCAATATCCGTCAGACCGAGGGAGTCGCTACGTAGTTTCGTTACCCGCTTCAAACCGAAAGCCTTGCAAGTAGTGGAAAAGATGACAAGGTCATCCTTACGCTTTATTGCCAGCCTTCAGTCATCTGATTTCCTTTTCTCCTCTCTAAAAACCCCCCGACCTTCATGGCAACCCTACTCCAAAGCCCAAAAATACATGAACGCCAAGATTTCCTAGCTGCCGACAAGATCCTATACCAAAAACTCTCCCCCAGAGAGAAAAGAAAGACTCAGAAATCAGAAAAGAAACACCCAGTACACTCACCAAAACCTTAGTTATACCGACCGACCACCTCGAGCCGACCGTCGGCGTCAACTCGCGCCGCCAGCCGTTCGAAAGATACATACCCCTCAACTCCTCCATGGAACAAGTCTTGAACCAGATTCAGTGAGATTATCCCCTCAAATGGCCCCAACCGTCGCGGTCTCTCTAACCGCGAGACCAATCCAAATACTGTTGTTCCACCAGGACCACGGCCATAACACTAAAGAGTGTGTTAACCTCAAAGACCAGGTCGAGGGCCTGATCGTCAGGGACATCTGCAGTCGGTTCACAAAGCCCCCTCAGCAAAGGCAAAGGACTGAACCCATCAAAACAACGCCGGTACACCCCTCCACAGAACCTGCACAACCCAACCAAGGTCATGATCGCCCTCCACAGCAACCCCGGGCACAAGGTAACCCGCCCCACCTGTTGGAGAAATCGAGTTATTGCTAACGGGCTTGCTTGTGGAGGACCATCCCGCTCGGCCCAGGGGCAGAACTCAGAAAAATAAGGCAGGGCTCAGACAAAGAAGTTGCCACATTGGACCGCCCTGCCAAACAGCCCAAACAGTGGATGGAGCCATCACCTTCACGGAGGGCGACTCATAGGCATTCGTTACCCTCTATGACGACCCTCTCGTCATCTCTGCCCTCCTCTCCAACTATAAAGTCAGAGGGTTCTCGTCGACAATGGAGTTCTTCCGACATCATCTTACTAAATGCCTTTCGCCAGCTCAAGATTGGGGAGGAAAGTCAGTCTCCTCTCCAAACCCCATTGGTCGGTTTCACTAGAGATCGGTGTCCATTGACTCTCCAATCGGCGGATACCCGCGGCAGACCACAAAGTTACTCACTTCCTTGTTTTCGACTGCCCCTCTACTTTACAACATCATTCTTGGCCGCACACCTAAATTTCTTCCAAGCTATCACATCCACTTTCCATCTTGCCATCAAATTTCCCACCGATCTTAGGGTCGGCACAGTGAGGGGAGAGCAGACCGTGCCAGAGAATGTTATGTCGCCTCACTTAAAGAGGTCAAGCTCAAGGAGGCTATGATCATTGAAGGACTCGACGTCAAGAGAGAGACGAGCTGGTCAGAGGGGAACCAGTGGAAGAGCTTGTCGAGGTCCTATCGATCCCCACCAACCGACAAAATGCCAAGATGCAGCCAACTATCCACCTAGGCCAAGGCCGACCTTACTACCCTCCTGATTGAGCACACAACATGTATTTCCTGGACCCACTCCGATATGCTGGGTATTGACCCCTCTTTCATCACTTATCGTCTCAGCATTGAACCCCATTTCCGACCATTCCTCCATGAGCAGCGCATCTTTCATCCGGAGCGCAATACTCTTATCGCTGCTGAAGTAGATAGCTCCTTGAGGCATAATTTATCAAAACATGAAACTACTCCAGATGGTTGTCAAACGTGGTCCTGGTCCGTAAGAACATGGTAAATGGCGACTCTGTGTCGACTACTCCGACCTCACCCGAGCTTGCCCCAAGGACAGTTATCCCTTTCTTGCATAGATCCTACAGCTCTGTTGTACGCCCTCAAATGCTTAGCTTAATGCTTTTATGGACAACCTGTCTGATTTGGTACAGCAAACTGTACTAACCCGACTACTGACTGCCTCACTCTTACCGACCGGGGAACCTACCATTCCGTGTCATGCCATGTGGTTGAAAAATGCCGGAGCCACTTACCAACGGTTGGTCAATGCTTCTTTCATCATCAGATTGGAGGAACATGGAAGTATATGTCGATGACATGCTAGTCAAAAGCAAACTCTCCACTGATCATCGGCCCGACCTACGAGAGACATTCGGCACCCTAACGAAGTATCAAATGAAGCTCAATCCGAGAAATTGCGCCTTCGGCGTAGGATCTGGGAATTCTTGGTTTATGGTCAGTCAGTGAGGCATCGAAGCTAACCCGAAAAGATCAAGGCTTTTGATAGAAATGAATCACCCCCGAACGGTTAAGGAAGTTCAAAGGCTTACTGGAAGAGTCGCCGCCTCAACCGTTTTATTTTCCCGTGCAACGGACAAGGCCTCCCTTCTTCAAAGTTCTTCGCAGACTTTTGATGGACGACCGAATCCAAAGAACCTTCCAACATTGAAGCAATGCATGGCCAACCCGCCCTTAACTCTCCTAAGCACTCAAGGCGAGCTCTTTTTCTTTATCTAGCCGTCTCGAGCGCCGCAGTCAGTGCAGCCTCATCAGGGAGGACGGTTCAGTATACCGGTTACTACATTAGCCAGGCTCTCAGGCGCTGAAACAGAACTATCCCTTGCTAGAAAAAATGTCCTGGCCCTGTCACCCCTCAAGACGACTCTTCCTTAGTTCGAAAGCCACTCCATAGTATGTCCTCATCTGATTTCACCTTTAAGAAGGTAATGTACAGCCTGAGTTCGGCGGCTCGGTGCAGTCGCAGCTCATGCCAATTTGACATCTACCTCAACCATGACGCGTATGGCAGATTGACGATTTCAATTCCTGAATCATTCTAATCCCACCAGTCCCACTGTGCCAATCGCCTCCCAACCCAGACTGAGCAAGAAGACCCTAATTCTTGGTCGACCTTTCAACGTCGACACGATCATCCTGGCAAAAGAAGGCAGGGGGCTGGTTTCGAATCCACCGCCGCCAGGAGAGGTTATTCAAGGCGTGTGCTCTCCGGTTCTGTGTTGTTGAGCACCAAACCAATAATGAGGGCCCTAAATATTGAGACATTTGATAGCAGTCTCCGCCTAGCAGAGGACAATGGGTCACCCATATTCGGTGTTCAGCGATTCCCAGCTCATATGTCGGCACCAGACGGGGGATTTCGCTTCCAAAGGAAGACACAATGCGAGCTAATCGGATATTTGCATCCCCCTTGCTGCTCTTTCAATGACTTTCACATCAAGCACATTCCTCAGGCGGAAACCAAGTAGTCATCGATGAGATAGCTCAATTACTTCCTGCCAGACCTCGTCAGACCTCACCACGGTGTCCAGTCCTCGAAGTACACCTGAACCGTAATCCCTCCATTTCCCCAACCAGCAGGAAGCCAACTTCACTCCAAAAATGGAAACCTATCCCTAGGGTGCAGACATTCTTGTCTATTGTCTGACAACGGGGAACTCCGGATGAAAACGAAGTAGCTGCCAAGTCGAGGGCCGGTACCAATTAACCATGTCTAGTCAGCCTAGCGCTCGGGGCCCCTCTTGTACAAAATCATGGCGTTTTCACGCCCATATCTTGTGATTGTCACATCAATCCAGCCTCAGAGCGACCTTATCCGTGATGAGAAGCCAGAGGGATATGTAGGTAATCATTCGGGAGGCCAGGGTCACTTAGCTTACAAAATTAGGCTTCGCACTGGGTTATTATGGCACCTAACTATAACAAGATGCGATCTGACTCGTGCTTAAACAATGGAAGTAGAAAGATGTGTGTGGGAAGTTTATTATAGGTAGATGCAGACGATCGATTAAGATAGTTAGAATTGATTGTCCTCCAACTTGTTTGTTTAACCTTCGAATTATTGTTACATCGCATTCAGAATTATTCTTCACCTTGGTACAGAGACCCAGGTGTTGTGAACATTGATCTGAATCACACTTGGTGTTAAACCCCATTTTGAGTATCCTATTATTAGGTCAACCACCTCCGTAACCCCTCATGGTAGATGCTGTTCCAATGATGATGATAATCCATATTATGTTGAAATAGGTGTTTCGGATCTGGGGGAGATGCGGACCTAGTTGGCCCATTATAACTCCGATTATGGTGAGAATCGTCAATGGCTCTAACCCTATACTTATTTCGAATCTCGCACTCAGACTTGAATAGTAGATTGGAAATGAATACTTGACATTCTCATACTGAAAGTGATGTGTTTTGACTCTCGCAAAGGTTAACTTGAGTGGGTCTTATGAGAACCGCTTTCATCGTAAAGTCATATCCGCCACAATTATATTATAATCATTCCTCTCTATATTGTATACAACCCGAATTTACCTCAAAATAATTAATTCCATCACCATAAATCTGAAATTGCTTCATGGATCTCCAAAAATAATTCTGATTTCTTGTAAAATTACTAACTCTCATTTTAAATATTCCTATGTCTAAACTCAAAAATTTACATTACAGATGGAGAGAGAGCCGAAAGTAGGAGAAAAGAAAAATGAGAGACAAAGAGATGAAATTCAGGAGAGGTATGAAAAGAAGAGGAGGGGCTCAATTTATAAAGGAAATGGTTGGTTTATTGTGGTAGGTGGAAAACTGTGGGTTGTTGCCCACGGTTTTGTCTTTTTTTTTTCTTTTTTTTTTCACGAGATGGGGAAATTTAGAAAAGAATTGATAAATTTATTATTAAATGAGAATAAATAGTAATGAGATAGATATAAAAGAGATGTGATGAATACAAATAAATAATTTTATTTTTTAATTTTTATTTAAAAATCTCACCACTAATATTATAATAAACCAGCAATAGCATTCACTAAATATTAATACCTCAAAATACGGAGTGTTACAGTTCCAATATATATTATGTCACTTCCTTCACCAATTCCAAAATTTCCACCACCAAGCCCAGTTTATAAGAAACCACTTCCTCCACCAATCCCAAAATTTCCAGAAAATGTGAATAATGATGAAAACCCAACAATCTTTGGAGCCAATGGTATATATTTTGAAAGAAAAATGATTGGTGGCCTGAATTTATGTGGCCCAAATGGTTCGAATGTGTCAAAACTACGTCGTTTTATACCCAAAACGACATCGTTTTGAGTGTTTCGAGCCATTCGAGCGATGAATTTTCAGGCCACCTAGCATTGTTGATTTTGAAATTTGAGGCGTAGTTCTTGTAAGTTTTTGGCTCAAGGAAAATAATTGTTGATCAATAAGTCTATGAATACAAGATGGGACGTAAAATGTATTTTGCAATAGTGGACTCCACTAACAAATCCAGTAAATTTTAATCTACTCATATATGTTTTTTGTGTCTAATTCTGGAGAAATTTTTTAGTGCAAATTGGGTAGGTGCCATGTGGTACCTTTCTCTTTTTTAATTGGTTGAGAGAGTGGGGGCTACATTTATGTGTTGGGTGATGGGAGACAACATGGGGAGGCCATGGTATTTGTGATTGATTGAAGGTACCACGTGGCATGCCACCTCGTACCCTATCTGCACCCAATAATTTTTCCTAATTCTGTGATTGATTTTTGTGTTCGCAGTTGATATATTGTTAATGCAGCCTTTCACCTAAAAGAATGTACACTTTATTTCATGAGAGAGATTATATAGATATATTAATGAGAGTACTGGCTGATTCATCTGCTCAGTTTGAATGCTCATTCAATAGCAAGACATTGTTTGATCAACAGAGCTGGTGACCATTAATAGTATTATTTTTCTGCTCTGCACAACACAACCCCATAACTAGTTGGGTCCCCAAACTTATCTTGAACCAGTAGTGCAGTGTTTGGAAGTCTCTTCAATCACTTCCTCATTCTATAAATAACTCAAAAACCATTCAATCAAATCAAAGAAGGCTAGTATGGTTTCTCAACTTCTAAGCTGAAGTTTGGTTTCATCACCTGCTTCTCTCTCCTTGATATTGTTGGGTTCCTTCAAAGTGGGCAAAAGGGTCTCAATGTTGGCACTTTCTTTTTGTAGAGCGGTATTTTTGGGATTTTGGTTTTTTTTACTATTGGCTGTGACAACCTGCTATGGTGACAATGAGACAGCAGAGGTGATTGGAATTGTAGAATGTGCAGATTGCACACGGAAGAATTTCAGCCAGACCTTTTCAGGTACAACACTTTTCCGAGCACAAAAATGAATCACCAAGATATGAGTTACGCTTCTTGTGAATGTGATGTGATTCGTTTATGTGAAAGTATCTTTTTCATTTCAAGTACACAAATTTTTAGTAATGTCATACAAACAAACAAAAAAATTGGTATAAATTTATCATGTAAAATGAGATGGTCTCTTGTGCTCTTTTCATTTAAAATCAAAAGGCCTATCATTCTCGCTCACAATTCTAAAAATATCATTAACCCTTCATTCTAAAAATGACATGTAGAATAATAATATGGTCCCTTTGGGTGATGGCTTAGATCTTTATTTCTTCCATTATGATTGAATGCTAACCAGAGTTCTAGGGGGAAAAAATATATATATATATATATTCCACCACATAAATAGGCTTGTTTGTGTTTTGTTTTTGTTTTCCTTTTCTTCATTTTGATTTTCATGTATTCAAAAATAAAGCAAAGAAAAGTTTAAAACAACAATTCGTCTTTATTTTTGCCTGAAAACAATTTTTGAAAATTCAAAAATAACCTTTCTAGAATTTCCTAAAAGTCGTTTTCAGGAAGTTTTTCCAAAATTTGTTTTCAAAAAAAGTTGGTCATTTTTTTTATTTATTTGAGGAAACTAAAAACAAAAAATGAATGCAAAACAAATTTGATCAGCATTGTGCATTGCTCTGTGCAGGGCTTCATGTCACCATTGATTGCAAGTCTACAAATGGAAAGCTCAAAACAGCTGGGGTTAGTGAACTTGATGAAGAAGGAAAATTCACAGTATCTCTTCCTAATGGGATTGCAAAAAATGGAGAATTGAAAGAGGATTGCTTTGCACAGCTTCACAGCGCAACTGGCGCGCTATGTGCTCTCCACAACGATCAAGAGGCCTCAAATATAATCTTCAAGTCCGTAGCCAATGGGAAACAAACCTTTGGCCTATCTGGGAAGCTACAATTTTCTCCGACGACCTGTGTTTCAGCCTTCTTGTGGCCTTTTTTCAAGCACCCACCATTGCCCCATTTGCCTCATTGGCCAAAGTTGCCACATTGGCCACCAATTGAATATCCTCCACCCCAACCAGAGGGCTCGCCACCAGCTCCTGTTTACAATAAGCCACTTTCTCCACCACCACCTCCTCCATCACCATCACCACCACCCCCTTACATTTACAAATCTCCGCCTCCACCGTCTCCATCACCCCCTCCACCATATTATTACAAATCTCCTCCACCACCTTCTCCCTCTCCTCCTCCGCCTTATTACTACATGTCACCACCACCACCATTGCCATCACCTCCACCACCCTACTATTTTAAGTCACCACCTCCACCATCTCCATCTCCATCACCAACACCACCATACTATTACAAATCGCCACCTCCACCATCTCCTTCTCCACCACCTCCTTATTACTACAAATCACCACCACCCCCAGTGAAGTCACCACCTCCTCCATACATCTACAAATCCCCACCTCCACCAGTGAAGTCACCACCACCACCACCACCACCCTACTATTACAAATCACCACCTCCACCTCCACCTCCACCTCCATACTATTACAAATCGCCACCTCCACCTCTTATACCAACATACAAACCAAATCCCCCAATCAACAAGCCTACACCACCAATCCAAGAGAAACTTCCACCACCGCCAACGACACGTACGCCAATTCCTAAAGCTCCTCCAATCCCTAACCTTCCTCCTATCCCAACGAGACCTCGAAAGTATTTCAACCAACCTCCCCAACCACATCAACCATTAATGCTTAGGAGTACTTTGCATTTTTCTTAGTTTATTTGGATATTGTTGAACCTTAAGCTTCAATAAAATATGTTGAATGATTTAGCAATGCTATTCTGTATTGAAGATTGAAGAGAAATGAACTAGAAAAATACATGGGTGGGTTTGGTTATTCTTAATTGCAAAATAAATTGAACATGAGAATGCACATAAGTTGTTCTTGGCATGTCTTCATATCCAAATTGTTGTTGATGTTTGGAGGGATTGAGTTTTGATGTTGTAACCGAGTGTGCAATTATGTATTATCAATCAAAATTTTGCTACCTTTCATTTTATTTTCCAAAAAAAATTAGTTCCTAGTAACCATTTTTTTGGATTTTTCCTAGATGTATTACTCTAAACAAGCTCAATTTGATTTAAATAACGTTAACCCTTTGGTTCTCCAAACATTTTTATGCAACATTTTAGAAGTATTCTAGCTGTCAATCTTCTTTTGGTATAAAATCATATGGCTAAAACCATTCAATGATAATTGGATTTTGGTATGAAATCATATGGCTAAAACCATTCAATGATAATTGATTTTTAGTATATATGATCTTTACGATCAGATACATCAAATGATAGACTTATATTTTTACAAAATGTTAATATTCATAACCAAATATTATTAATAGTACATGACTTCTAGGACATGACTTCAACAAAATTGTGCTCTATTTTGAGTGAATTGAAAATTTTATTATGCACAATGGAATTTAATTTTTTTTTTTAGCCATGAACATCTTACATGTTAAATATGGAATTTAGATTGAGAACATTTCTCCCAAATCTTTGGGGTAAAAATGGCAATTGCTCAATATGTGCAGGTTATTGTCAAAGGAAAATTTTGTCTTTTTTTTAGTACATTTAAGGAGAGTAAAGGGAATTGAACCTGGTAAACTTCTAATAAAGTACAAGAATTTTGATCATTAGACTAGTTCCGCTTTGGATTGTCATCTTGATTCCAAGATGAAAGGCTTTTTTATCATATTTCATCCTCGTGTAGAGTTAATATATTAAACATCACTAGTATTAAAATTGATATGGGTAAGCCCATAAAGGCTACAGCCCACTATAAATAACCCAAGCCTATCACTTAGGCCCCAATACATAATTCAACTAATGAGGCCCAACATGGCTGGAACTCAACGTGGCTTTAAGAACCAATGACACTCAGACACGTGGCAGGTGAAGGACAAGCCACATAAGTAGACAAAGATCCTGCAAAGTTATTACACAGCACATTAGCCATTAATGAAACCCCTTACAGCATTTATTGCGATAAGCCCTCCCCGTCGAGACAGAACGGCCTCACCATGAACAAGGCAAGCTAGAGCATAGACTTTCGGCCAAGATGGTAGGTCGGAAGGGACAACGAAATGATTACCAAAGGATATAAGCAGACGTCGAAGACAAAAAGAAGGTTAAGGTTTCTATCTCTAATCTATCTCTACACTCCATCTCTTTTTCTAACTTGCTCGTCCGAGGGTTCGCTGGGGGACTCCCCGTTCCCCGTTGAACTCTTGTGCAGGTTCCTCTGTGGGCTTGGTCACCCGGACGCTAGTTTGGGAAGCGTAGATCAGTCCGACCTGTTCCATCTGGAACCCGTAGTATCATCAGTTGGCGCCGTCTGTGGGAATCGATTTGCTTCGCGCGCCAGTTGTACTCATTGTCGCTGGAGACCCTGTCTCAATAACCCTTTCCTGCCACCCACCAAGGTGTATGGTCACGACTAGATCCATGGCTTCTCACCACAATGTTGCCGACCACCAAGCCGACCCTCCCAATCCAAACAACCCACCACAGTATTTCACCGAGCTCACCAATAGCATTAACCGCTTGGCCGAGCAAAACCAAGCCCTGATTAATGCTCTACCCCAAAGAAACCCTCCTATGCCTCCTCCACCACCTCCAGATATCCCACCCCACCAAGAACGAGCCCCGAGCCACACTATCCAGCAGCCCCATCCGCCTAATTTGGAGGGGTTACGACCACCCCCCCAGATATGAACCTACCCCCCGAGCCCCACATCCATCGGTCCAGGTACCCACCCCCGGGGGAGAGGCCAGTAGCGTCCAGCCCTCGTTCCCTTCCGGCGGTGACAACGTCCATTTCTGGGATGCAAAACTCCGAGCCATGAAGCTCTAGCTCCAGGGAGTCATGCAGAACATACCAAATAAACCATCCACCACAGCCAACTCACCATTCGTTGCCTCCATCCGGGACAAACATCTACTGCCTAAGTTCAAAATGCCCACCATCGACTCTTTTGACGGTACAACAGACCTAGTCGATCACTTAGAGACCTACCGGACCCTCATGATCCTCCATGCATTCCCCGATGAAATCATGTGTCGGGCTTTCCCCGTAACACTCAAGGCGTCGGCTCAACTTTGGTTTTGTCAACTGCCAGCAGACTCAGTCTCCACTTTCTAACACCTCAGTGACTCATTCCTCAGCCATTTCATTGGAGCCCAGCGCCAGCAACGTCCGGCAACCCAACTCCTCAATATCCGTCAGACCGAGGGGGAGTCGCTACGTAGTTTCGTTACCCGCTTCAATACCGAAGCCTTGCAAGTAGTGGAAAATGATGACAAGGTCATCCTTACAGCTTTCATGGCCAGCCTACAGTCATCTGATTTCCTTTTCTCCCTCTCTAAAAACCCCCCGACCTTCATGGCAACCCTACTCTCCAAAGCCCAAAAATACATGAACGCCGAAGATTTCCTAGCTGCCCGACAAGATCCTATAGCCAAAAACTCATCCCCCAGAGAGAAAAGAAAGGACTCAGAAATCAGAAACACCCAGTACACTCACCAAACACCTTAGTATACCGACCGACCACCTCGAGCCGACCGATCGGCGTCAACTCGGCCGTCCAGCCGGTTCGAAAGATACATACCCCTCAACTCCTCCATGGAACAAGTCTTGAACCAGATTCAGTGAGATTATCCCCTCAAATGGCCCCAACCGTCGCGGTCTCTATCTAACCGACGAGACCAATCCAAATACTGTTGCTTCCACCAGGACCACGGCCATAACACTAAAGAGTGTGTTAACCTCAAAGACCAGGTCGAGGGCCTGATCTGTCAGGGACATCTCAGTCGGTTCACAAAAGCCCCCTCCAGCAAAGGCAAAGGACTGAACCCATCAGAAACAACTGCCGGTACACCCCTCCACAGTAACCTGCACAACCCAACCAAGGTCATGATCGCCCTCCACAGCAACCCCGGGCACAAGGTAACCCCGCCCCACCTGTTGGAGAAATCGGAGTTATTGCTAGCGGGCTTGCTTGTGGAGGACCATCCCGCTCGGCCCAGGGGGCAGAACTCAGAAAAATAAGGCAGGGCTCAGACAAAGAAGTTGCCACATTAGACCGCCCTGCCAAACAGCCCAAACAGTGGATGGAGCCCATCACCTTCACGGAGGCCGACTACATAGGCATTCGTTACCCTTATGACGACCCTCTCGTCATCTCTGCCCTCCTCTCCAACTATAAAGTCAGATGGGTTCTCGTCGACAATGGCAGTTCTTCCGACATCATCTTACTAAATGCCTTTCGCCAGCTCAAGATTGGGGAGGAAAGTTTATCTCCTCTCCAAACCCCATTGGTCGGTTTCACTAGAGATCGGGTGACCTCCATCGGCGAATACCCGCGGCAGACCACAAAGTTACTCACCTTCCTTGTTTTCGACTGCCCCTCTACTTACAACATCATCCTTGGCCGCACAACCCTAAATTTCTTCCAAGCTATCACATCCACTTTCCATCTTGCCATCAAATTTCCCACCGATCTTAGGGTCGGCACAGTGAGGGGAGAGCAGACCGTGGCCAGAGAATGTTATGTCGCCTCACTTAAAGAGGTCAAGCTCAAGGAGGCTATGATCATTGAAGGACTCGACGTCAAAGATGAAGACGAGCTGGTCAGAGGGGAACCAGTGGAAGAGCTTGTCGAGGTCCTCATCGATCCCACCAACCCGACAAAAGCTGCCAAGATTGGCAGCCAACTATCCCCTCAGGCCAAGGCTGACCTTACTACCCTCCTGATTGAGAACAACGATGTATTTGCCTGGACCCACTCCGATATGCTGGGTATTGACCCCTCTTTCATCACCTATCGTCTCAGCATTGAACCCCATTTTCGACCATTCCTCCATGAGCAGCGCATCTTTCATCCGGAGCGCAATACTCTTATCGCTGCTGAAGTAGATAAGCTCCTTGAGGCATAATTTATCAAAAACATGAACTACTCCAGATGGTTGTCAAACGTGGTCCTGGTCCGTAAGAACAACGGTAAATGGCGACTCTGTGTCGACTACTCCGACCTCAACCGAGCTTGCCCCAAGGACAGTTATCCCTTTCCTTGCATAGATCTGCTTGTTGATGCCACAGCCGGCCGTCAAATGCTTAGCTTTATGGATGCCTTCTTTGGGTACAACCAAATTCTGATGCACCCGTCTGATCGGGAACACACCTCCTTCATCACCGACCGGGGAACCTACCATTACCGTGTCATGCCATTTGGGTTGAAAAATGCCGGAGCCACTTACCAACGGTTGGTCAATGCTATCTTTCATCATCAGATTGGTAGGAACATGGAAGTATATGTCGATGACATGCTAGTCAAAAGCAAACTCTCCACTGATCATCTGGCTGACCTACGAGAGACATTCGGCACCCTACGAAAGTATCAAATGAAGCTCAATCCGGAGAAATGCGCCTTCGGCGTAGGATCTGGGAAATTCTTGGTTTTATGGTCAGTCAGTGAGGCATCGAAGCTAACCCCGAAAAGATCAAGGCTTTGATAGAAATGCAATCACCCCCGAACGGTTAAGGAAGTTCAAAGGCTTACTGGAAGAGTCGCCGCCTCAACCGTTTTATTTCCCGTGCAACGGACAAGTGCCTCCCTTTCTTCAAAGTTCTTCGGCAGACTTTTGAGTGGACGACCGAATCCAAAGAAACCTTCCAACAGTTGAAGCAATGCATGGCCAACCCGCCCTTACTCTCCTAAGCACTCATAGGCGAGCCTCTTTTTCTTTATCTAGCCGTCTCGAGCGCCGCAGTCAGTGCAGCCCTTATCAGGGAGGACGGTTCAGTATAACACCCGGTTTACTACATTAGCCAGGCTCTCAAAGGCGCTGAACAGAACTACCCATTGCTAGAAAAAATGTCCGTGGCCCTGGTCACCACCTCAAGACGACTCTGTCCTTAGTTCGAAGCCCACTCCATAGTGGTCCTCACTGATCAACCTTTAAAGAAGGTAATGTAACAGCCCGACCTGTCCGGC